ATTCTGCATTTTATTTTTCTGATGAAGTGCGAAGTGATAATAAAAAAAGATGCAGTGAAACATCAATGATCATATACTGTTGAGACAACTTAAGAATCGGACACGAATCGTATTCAGATCACGATATGTGTAGTTACGTAGTGAACTGCAAACTATATGTATATATATACATCGAATAATCAAAGTATGGAAGAAGATACGCTACGCACTGGATACCAAAAGAGATGATATCCAGATAAAGAAATCTGGGCGATAAATATCACAAAAACTGTAAAACTATTACATCTCCATTCCTCTTTATCCTTGGATGAAGTCTGACAATGTAAAATTGAAAACGTGAGGGGTAAAAAGAAGAACGAATAAAGCGCGAAACTGAAATAATATTCGTTCGACTGATTAATGCTCAAGAAAAATGAGTCGATATATATATACAGTCACCTACAATACCTTCAATGTGTCATACTCAAACGAGAGAAGAAAGAAAAGAAACATGACATTGCCATGCAAAAGTAAAAAATCAGGATAAATGATTCACCACTTGTTGAATAATACAATGAACTAAAACCGAAAATCATTACATCAAAATAACCTACATACTTGAGGTTATGTGTGTGGGTGAAGATATTCTTTCAATTTAATCCATATTCTTATAATAACTATTAGAAATATTTATCTTTCATAATGGATTCTGATAAAGCACGATTAATCATTCGGTTTCATAGCGATGACGACATGAGCTGGTTTTTTGATCAAAACTGTAATAGAATCGAATTTTATTCTCGATTTAATCACTGAATACGATTAATCATGATTTTACGTTAACCTTTTAGAAAATCAGCAAAATTGCTCTGATTTGCATGACATAAGAACTGAGTGATGAAGAATGATTCATGTATGAAATGTAGGTGAAACAGAGAGAAAGAAAGAAAGAAACAAACAAATGTCACTCGAATACATTTCTTATAGAATATGTAAATGACGAAGAAAATGATGAAATATTATTCATTCACAGCATCTACTGTATACCAAACAAAAGTAAGTTCAATACTTGGAATTCATTTTAAAATACTTATGTTTCTTTGTTTTTAAGATTTTTTGTGAAAATTTTCATTTGAACGATGACACGACTTCACAACGTTACAACTGGATTTCGATGAGATTCGAATACTAGTGGCAAAGCATATGCACATAAAGCCATTAATGGTTCATATCAAGTTTGACGTATATAAAATACTCATGACAATAGTCTTGATTTAATCAGTGAAGCAACAGGAAAATATTTAGAGGGTACGGGTGTGGGTAATGGATTAAAGATACCCACATACACACCTAACGAAATATCTCTAACATAAGAATATTGTATCATTCATGTATTAAATAGTTTCTTGAAATAAATAGTTTACAGGTTAAGACACAAAAATAAAATAAATAGATAATAAGGGTGGGTGTGGGTGTGAACTAAGAGAAGAGACACCCACACCCAACTTATTTACCAGACAATAATCGCTTGCATGTTGTTTAGTTTTATCATGTATCGTATTCATTCATCTTTGAAAATAAAATAAAAAGTTGACAAATAGTCATATCTCAATGCATTGAACATCGATAAGATGTTTATTTTCTTGCTAACATTTTCAATAATGGAAAGAACCAGTAACTGTCTCTTATCGACTGTCAATTAGTATTTGATATACCATTCGTCATTAACATAGAATGTTTGGGAATGACAGATAATGACGATGCACTAATAAGAATATTCTTCGGGAAATAAATGAGGAAGTAGTGATAGTCTTAGAGAATAGAACGAGTGACCTAAATCTCCTAAAATTGAATTTTTTGAGTCTCTGCGTCGAAGCAGTTTAGAGTGGTAAGCATTTTATCTATTTTTAATTCATTCATACTCTGAAAAATAGACAGAAAACTTCAACCACACATTTATTATTGTGATTCTTTCATCACTCGGCTTAGATGCACATCGTCGTCAGCCAGACACTAGGTGAAGAACAAAGACCAGGAAAATTTGGTTCGCATATAGTTGGCTTGCATTCTTGTGAACAATTAGCTATTTTCACTCCCTTGGATGATGGTGACCTGCAAAGCCTTGGATCATAATACGACATTACATGTGTGCAACATGAACAATAGCAACTTGTCCCCGAACATGCATTAGCAAGGACAACAATACTGAAGAATACAAAAAGAACTAAAAAGAAGTGAATTTTGTGATCAGCCACGGTTCTGAAAAAGAAGTACATACCAATTCGTGTCATGTTTAGAATGTGAATTGAAATGATAATATTGCTCCTTTATATTAAATACTGCTTATTTTATAATTTATTCATTTTTTTCGTATTACTTAATGTTTTTCCTTTTTTCCTTTTATACAATTTTTTACTTTGTAAACGAATGATTACTCATTACCTACATTATTTATTCATATCGCTATACGTACCACTTCCTAAATCGAAGTTGCATGAATAATACACTTATTTATTTTATTATGCATGCCATTTACTAGATGCACTTCATGCTGATGCTGATGGCGAATAATGCACATTTTATGGTTTCTATTCTATTAATCATTCTTGCTACTAGAATGATATCATAATATATGTTTAGCTCAATATCAACTACAGCAATTAGTTTTTTTTAATATTTTAATTTATGTTTTTCGATTGTTTTTCACAAACCGTACAATAAGCACACTCTTCATTCATATATATCAAAGAAAGACAATATGTTCTGGTTTCTGTATATTTTCCAGTTGAGAAACAAATTCGAATGTACCTTTTTCACTGCAGTAAGAAAAACAAGTTAAATGATTTGATTTTGTATTGGCAAGAAGAAGAAAAGTTCCACTCGGATCAAACGTAAAATGATTTGTGCATGAACCATGACAATCGAGATGTTCTTTGATACTCAATGATTGTTCATCGTCGCTATTAAACTTGTACACAACAATATTACAATCTCGTCTATTCGACACAAGTAATAAGTTTCCATCAGATGATAATTGTATTTCTGCTGGTTGATTCCTCGTGTTAGAATCTAAAAAGTGGAAGATATGAAAAAAAATGTGGGAACTTCAAAATTATTATATAATTTTAACCTTGTAGATTTTGTTGTCGTGTTGTTATTGTTTGTTGATGTTCAAATTTGCCGGAAGTAGTATCTACTCGATAAACACTCGTACTCGAATCCAATTCATTACATACGAAGGCAAACGGTTTAGTAAGATGAAAGACTAGATGACGCGGTCCAGCACCTGCATGTGTTCGAAAACGATCTCCAATGAGTTGAATTTCTCCAGTGACATCATTGAGTCGATATGTACTAAGAGTATCTGTACCCATATCCGTCACATATAAATAGCCTTGATAAAATAATACTTGATGAATATGAGATTCATGTTGACGATCGCGATTAGCTATTCCAAACTTTAAACAAAAAATGTAAATATATCAAAAATCTTAATTGCTTTATGAATGAGAAAATAGGTTTAAAATGTATAAAAACATATAAAGCAACTAAATGCATAGACTGTATTCATCGAAAAAGATTGATATAATTTTATAATATCTAATAACTCATTCTTTCATGATAAATTTCAATAAAAATATTTCTATTTTCAATCTTTTTACTTTGAATAATAGCTGAGTAAATATGGAAGTGGGACCACGACCATCCATAGTAAGAACTTGAGCATTATGATCATCGGGGATACCCTTGTCATTTAACGGTAGAAGAACAATGTTCGAAGGGCCAAACTGTCCATAACTACAATAGAAAGTAATACGAAATTTTATATCAGTAATCATTTTTACTTGGTTATAGCAAGCCATTTTCCAGTTGGATCAATATCAAGAAAACATGGTGAACCTCCTCTAGCCGAAACAATATTTAACGATGTTAATTTGCCGATAAATCGATCATCGATTGTAAATATTTGTATTTTATTATCATGTTCATTCACTGCATATAGAAAATCACCACGAGGATAAAGCCACGTCGATCCATTGCCGCTTAATGTTTCACCAAGTAATTCTATTTGTCCACTGGCAGAAAGACGGCATGAATAAATCTTTTTCTCACCAGTACCAACAAGGAATGTTTTATAAGACATAAAATAATCACAATAACGTATTAAAAAACATTAATAATAATAATAATGAGTATTTGTTTAGTATCACACATAAAAGTAGATATAACGATTCACTTGATTGCTCTTTATTATTGTGATAGAGTGAGGGTAAATAACGAATGTTTACAATGTCTCTTTTTTATTATTGGCTTTTCTTTTTACTTAAGTATACATTATGTGTAGGGTGATCGAAAAGTTTTTGGACAGAATATTTATTCACTCTTGATCAACTAAAACTCATTACAGACGAGTTAGAAGCAATGGGTTAGAATCAAAATTTTGTGCTTTTTTTCCGGATATGAACTTAGAAATGTTGACGTCATTTTTGTTCAAGTATAGTAAAATAATCTTTCATAAACTCAAAAATTTAGTTTAGACAGAGCCATTTTCTGTATACTTTTGTATTTTCACTATTATAATTCGAGATTAAAACTTGAGATCATTATTTACTCTACCAAATGTACTATTTGAGATTTACTTTTATCTTTCGACAAATCACATCAATTTTTTTTAATTCTTATTTTTAAACAATTGACTTATTTACCAAAACTGTTTTACCTTGAAAAAAGATTTTAACAAAATGACTCTAACGATAGTTGAGATGTAGAAAAGCGTTTCCTCTGAAAAAAATGATCGGCTTCAATAATTTTTAGTATGTCCAAAAAGCAACTTATAAAATAAACAAAATTGTTTAGATTCATTATTAAAAAATTATTATTTTTTTATACGTCGATGAAGTTATCGACAGAATGAAGTATTTCTACTTGCGATTCGTTTAGGTTAGTGTTTCAACATTCATATTTATGTTCCAATTAAAACTCAACAAGCTCTATCCAATGGTATAATTTGATTGTCTATAATCGCAATTATACTTGAGAAAATTTCAAAATACTGCTGAACTAAAATGCAATTCATCATTATTTCGCAACAACTCCAATTCACAATGTAGAATCATCCCATTTCCATCAGACCTTAGACATTTTCTTGATAGTTCTATGATATGCTGTGAATCAATTCTCTATAAACTGACTTTCACCATCAAGACAAACAAACATACATACATATAATAGTTATAAGACATTTCTCATAAAGTAGTCCTTTATTATGGCGAGAAAATTAGGTTTTACAAGAATTTTAAATCATCTTAGTCTTTAACACCTCCGGCCAATTGCACATCGACCACACTTGGTGGGCCCAGATAACGATCTACAAGAAGAGACTTTGTCCCAAAATCTAACATTTTTATCGTTGCGACATTTACGACCCTTGACTTCACAGCAACATTTCAAGTCAAATATGTGACAACAGGAATCTCGTTTGTGTCGAACAAGTCTTATTTCATTATTTTTCGTTGGATCCATAATTGTATTTGTTCTTAACATCAAATCTTTCTCATCAATAGCCTGACCTTCGATTGGCTCGAATGCAGCTGTATATTCTGAGATTTGTAAGACTACAAACAGTAAGCATATTGTTGAAACAATTCTAATTTTCATTCTTCTATTATGTTTGAATTTAGTACGTTGAACTTGTAATATCTAGAAGTAAAAATCAATATATGTGTTCTCTCGTTAATTGATTTAGCTTCAGTTTTTATTTTAGGGAATAGTGTGTACTCCGATATCAGAATCTCTGTTTTCACTTGAAGTGATCTATAATAGCGATGAAACTAATGAAATTTATTTGTATTTTTATAGGTAGAAATCGTTGGCTCCAAGCATTTTATCTCCCCGTGAGAGATGAAACACATATAAGATAAGGTTACATAGCAAACTTTTTTTAGCATATTGAGTTGAAGAGCAACGAAAATAATGATTGGAATTGCCCCATCGAACGCATCTTAATCTATCTTTATTTTTTTTATCATAAGGTCATATGCGAAGTAAGTAAATCTTTTCTTTTATAATAAAACAAAAGGTTTTTTTTACATTGTATTCAATATTATCAAGAAAATTAATTACAATAATAATGCTTTTCTTCGTTCATTATATTTTTATATTTATTACACAAATATAATGTTATTAAAGGTAATTCGTTGTACAGGTGAGAATATTATTTAATATACGATATTTAAATCTATTATGAATGCATAACTCTTAGTTTTATTAACATTATTTTCGCCTTGGTGGCTCAGTCGGTAGAGCGTCAGTCTCATAATCTGAAGGTCGTGAGTTCGATCCTCACCCGGGGCAGATTCCTTTTTTTTTGTATGTTCTTCTACATATAAATATATATATGATATCAACTGGTGTTATTCTGATAGTATTTCTTCCGAGTTAACAATATTTTTTTATTTTTGTTGATGTTACATGAATATATTTTTTTTTGTAAATTTAATCAATTGATTTTTTTATCTGTTTGCAAAAAAAAACGAAATACAATTAATAAATTTGCTTATTCTTCTTGTAATCATCCAAAAACATGAACATCAAACACAAGACCAAAAAGAAAAAAACATGGTAGAAAAACAAACAAAGATATTTCATCATTAGTAAAGAAAGCTTTTGATGTTTTGTTTCTTAACGAGATAAACACAACAAACAAGAAAATATCATTTGTGGATAAATTGTTATTTAACGGGAAAAAAAAGAAGAAGAAAGAAAAAGAAAAAGAAAAAGAATATTAATAACTAAATCATTGTTGTTGAGTAGAAGGAGGTGGAGCAGAACGAGTTTGTTGTTGATGTTGATTATTATTATTTTGTTGATATTGAGCAGAGTTTTGATATCCATTACCATTATTATTGTTATAACCACGAGTATTACCAAAACGATGATTACCACCACCACCACCACGATTACCTTTAAAATATATAAAAAAAATGAAAATAATTTCAATAAAACTTTTTTTTACCTCGATAATTTGAATTTGATCCACCTCTACCTCGATTATTTTCATAATAGGGTCGTTGATTATTACCATATGAATTATCATATCGACCACCATCTTAAAGAAAAATATATAGTATAATCATTCTCTAATGTAAAAGATTATCTTACTTGATCCTCTCCATGATTGATTATAATGATTTGGTCTACCACGATAAGGTTTGTGTCCACCTTCATTATGACCATGTTCATTTCGTTGAACATTTCCATTTCCTCGTTGATGTTGCCATTGTTCATCTGATTGTTGTTGATGTTGTTCATTTGAATTATCTTGTTGTTGATTTTCTATTGATGATGAAGAAGGTTGTTGATCTAATATAGAAAAAAAGAATATTATATAAATAACGAAAAAAAGAAGCAAAATATACTTGAATTAACAATAGTAAATGTTTGTAAATATTGTTCTGAATTAGATAATTGATTATCATTATTATCTTGACTTTGATCATGTAAATCATTTGATAAAAATGTATTATCTTGAATAATTTGTTCAAGTGAAATGTTCGGATTTCTGGTATCAAATTGTAATGGATATTCATTTAAACTAGTATTATTATTAATATTAATATTATTATTATCATTATTAGTTGATTGAATATTATTTGTTTCAATAGTTTCTTGTATTGGTGCTGGTGCTGGTGCTGGTGTTTGTATTTGTATTTGTGTTTGTTCTTGTTCCGGAGGAATTACAACAGAAGAAGCTTTTTGAGGTTCAACATGTCTTACTAATTGTTCAAGTATTTCTCGTACTTCTTGGACATTTTTTCCAGGAAGATTCTTAATTGTTGTTGATGATGGACCACTTTGATAAATTGATAGAACAGTATCAACAGAACGAGATATTGAATTTGATGTATTATCTGTTGGAACAATAACAGCAGATAATTCATCTAATAATGTTGATTCTTCAGTTTTCAATGACTGAAAAAAACAAAGGAGATATGTTATTATTATTATTTAAAAATATAAAATATGAATTTACTGTTGGTCGATGATCAAGTAGATATCGAATTTGTGCATATTCTCGAAGACGTTGAGAGACTGATTGACGTTTTTCATCCGCGGCTTGTTTTAAAAGACGTTTCTGATATTTTGCTGTCTAAAATAAAACAAATTAACTAAGAATAAATAAAGTAAAAAACTGACCTCGGTTTGAATTTTTTTGAATTGTTCACCGAGATCTTTAGCACATTCAATTTGACCAAGTACTTCAGGATATTTAGCTAATGCTTCTTTTTGATCTTTATTTAATTCTGCACCAGTTGCTGCTAATTGTTTATAACTTTCCAATTTTTCCTAAACAAAGACAAAAAAAAATGCATTATGTAAATGAATTTATTGATGGGATCGCGTAATTTATCTTCACATGTGTTTCAAGCTGCCGTTAGTGCCATCTACAGAACTAAAAGCTCTACTTTAATCTATAGAAAATCTGAGTATACCATTCAAGAGAACTATTTGGAACATGTTCCTGAATGAGTCATAGGTGAAATTACGCGAATGTGATCGATAGTTTCATTGACATAAGAAAAATATGATTTAAAATTGTAAATCTAATACTTAATAGAAGAAATAATACTTTGAAATTTTTATTAAAAAAATCTAAGATCTTTGGTGATTTTGTTGTTTCGGATGATGAGTGTAATATCGACAATTTTCTTTCTTTTATTGGTTCATTGTCGAAACTAATGTCATTGATTGATGCAATTTTTCACGCTCTACAAATCACATCTCACTGACATCTCTTAATAGCTTTTTTTTTGTCAAGTAACACAACGTTTATGTTCGATTAGATTGCCTTAGAACTACTTCCTATATTAAATATAAATAATAGGTTGTATTAGTTGTTATTAAATGTTAAAATCTTGTTCAATTAAAAATAATATTGTCTTATACTATATAATTATTTTTACTTTTGTTTAAACTTATTGAGTATCATTATTCGAATAATGAAAAAAAACTTCCATAGGCTCTTTATTTTCATATTTGATTCTCTCATTAACAAATTAATTAAATATATTGCCTAATTAATCTTACTAATGTTTATATCATTTTGAGTTCTCAAGTTATTTAAAAACTAGACATTAGTAGCGA